GTTCACACTAGGGGCGGTACCGTAATTACTTCGTTTGTTGCGTTCACACTTAAAGAGTTGGTTAATTACGGTACCGCCCCTAGTGTGAACACTCGCAGTATATAATTCAACCTCGTCCTGCTTGAAAAGTGTGAACGCAACAAACCAAGTAATTATGGTACCGCCCCTAGTGTGAACACTCGCAGTATATAATTCAACCTCGTACTGCGAGTGTTCACACTAGGGGCGGTACCGTAATTACTTGGTTTGTTGCGTTCACACTATATAATTCAACCTCGTCCTGCTTGAATTGGTATACTGGACGAGGTTGTTTATATACTGCGAGTGTTCACACTAGGGGCGGTACCGTAATTACTTAGTTTGTTGCATTCACACTTAAAGAGTTGGTTAATTACAGTACCGCCCCTAGTGTGAACACTCGCAGTATATAAACAACTTCATCCAGTCTCAAATTTCTTTGCCAATTAATCTCATACATACAGCATAAATTAAATCATTTCATCAAATATACATATAATGTATGTGCAATTCACATGAATATAAGTTGAAATGACGGCATCATACGGATATATACATAAGAGTAGCGTAGCATTCACACAATTTGGTAGAAATTTATAATAACTAGTATGTAACCCCGTTCGATGCACGAGCTGTATTTATTTTGGTAAAATTTATAATTGAAGGCTATTAATCAAAAAGTTATAATACATAGAACATTCGTAAAATGTTCATAATGAAAGTCATACATTATTAAAAACCTCTTTGTTTTTCCATCAAAATTATTTTACACTTGGCAACCGTAGATCGATACTTACCAAGATTACTTTGCACTTGGTAATTGTGAATTGCATAGACAGATCATTCCTTCAAATTTTTGTTGAATTTTGAAATGTTACCACCACGAAATAAAACTATAGTAAAAATATGTAATATTGTGACAAATACTAAAGATATGATTTATCTGATGAAGTTTAATTTTTTATAGAATATAAGAAAAGTTGTTACCTTAAAGTGTTGATTTTGAGTATATCTT